TGTTTCCAAAGTCCTTTTCGTCTGACCAATGTAGATTTTATTGCAATCTGGACGAGAGATTTTGTAGACTCCGGCTTTCCCTAAGACATTTATTGAATATTTCGTTGATCCTAACAGTGACTTCAGCTGATATGTCCTGCTGCTGAATACTAAATCTAGATCAAAACTTTTAAACTTCGAAATCAATGATTTGGTAATGTTTTTGTCGAAATTCACCGCTACCCGTTTTAAACTCTTGTCGAAATCCGCCTAAAATGATCACTTGTTATTTTATCGATTACAGCTTGAATTGTTTTTTCTTGATACCCATTAAGTCTAGCGATTTAAAAAATGTGAACTATTTCCATTGATTTGCCTGTATCGCTAAGAGGAAGAGTTTGCATCCTGTGAACCATGTGGTGAAAAGCGACCATTTTGTGTTGATGGGAATGGCTTGAAGTGCTTTGTATTACTCTCTTTGTGTTTGTTGGTTTCCTATAGATTTCGAAATTGAACGAAGACGTTTCCCTGATGATGAGAAGATCTAACAAGGGGAGTTTGCCGTCTCTCTCTTCTTCGTGAGTAAATTTGATGTCCTTGTGAACGTTGCTTATGGCCTCCAAAGTTTTTGATAAATCTTCCCTTTTGACAATGCTAAAAATGTCATCCACGTACCTATACCAACATTTGGGCAACAAATTCCTATCCTCTTTCTAGGTTAGCCATGAACAATTCACATAAAAATGGAGAAAGCGAGCGCCTTTAGTTTGTTTATAAAAATTTCCTCGACGAGTAAGCTTGAGATATGACCGAACTTTGCTTTTCCAAGTAGAATCCAAGTAGAATCCTTCAGGAGCCAGTCCTCTAAAAGGCTGATGGCATCCTTTACTGGTACACTCAGAAAAAGTGTTGTGACATCAAATGAAACCATGACTTTATCTTTCCGAATCTCTCCTGATGCCTGAAGTGTATTTGCGAATTCCTGTGTCCTGTTAACTGAGCGAGTGGAAAAGGGTTTAGGCAGTGGCGTCGCGTAACCTCACTTTTTACCTGTGCACCAACTTTCAAAAACAGATTTAATGCCATATTCATACTCGAATCTGTTGAAAAATACGCTTAATCTTCTAGTTAACTCGATATCTATCCATTGCAAGCAATATTTTGATAATTATTTATGTTTTGAGGGTTGGTGCACAGGTAGATTGAGGTTAAGGCGACGCCACTGGGCTTAGGCATATTTTGAAATTCCTTTACTAGCCATTTGGCATGCTTATGAGTGGGGGATCCTTCAGCCGAGATAATCTCCCTCATTTCGTTTCCTGGTTTGTGAACCGTTGGTAAACCTTTGATTCTAGGTAGAATAGGGTTTGAAAATTTCAATTGAATGACTGATGAAGTCTGCAAGTAGTAGACGAAATTCGCCATCTGTCAAAAGATAAGCAATTATAAAGGAATTTAAAGGAAATAAACCAACCCACTCAAAGCTCTTCATAAAGGGATTCCGTTAAGAGTTTCGACAAATTTAAAGGTATGAAGAAATCGTCTTGGAGTTCAGATGATTTCTAGACTAACATTTGAAAGGGGCGTAAGAGCCAAAATGTAAAAAAACCATATTTTGCCACATATAGAGAGAATAGTTCACAAACTTCTCGATAAACACGAAAAAGTAGAAGAAAATATCACTACAAATCACCAAAAACGTTTCTTCTTACATGGCGTATTTCCAACTTTCAAATCTATGATGAATATGGTTGTTACGCCTTGCACCAGAACAACGAATTATATTGTTTTAATATGCCAAACGTATTGACTCTGTAGTATCTAGTCACGGCCGATTCATTTGAAACGCATCCGATTGATATTTCACGTGTAAACAACGAACAAAAAGAAGACCAAAAAATCTCCGGGCGTAATTCCACTCTCACAAAATTTGCGAACGAAGAACCAAGGCGGAACAACAAACAAAAAATCCCGAGGGTGTACTTCCACGGCGTATCACCAGTGTTGGCAGTTCAAAGGGTGGATGATCTGGGGGGTAACAACATGTATGAAATTATCAGGGCGTATGATGTTTTCTTCTCAATTTCACGACAAAGAAAACTTTTTTTGAGTTTTTAGTGATGCACGATGATAGATTACACTATTAACTATATGTCAAGCTTATAAAATCAACCAGAAAATGGAAAGTCGTGTAATAGGATTAATTTTTAGGTCAACAAAATTCAGAAGCGATTTTCTCGATATGGTCATTTTGGAATTACGCCCTTTTCAAATGTTAGTCTAGATTTATTCTAGTATCAAAATATGTCCAAACAGATTAATAGTGCCTATATGGATAATGTTTTATTACTTCCAAGTATACCAGATGATCTAGGTTCTTCAAATCGTCCTGCAGTTCCGATGATTTATTTTACTAGATCAACAAAGACTAGGATAATATCTGTAGTATCGAAATATCGATTTGAAAATTCTAGAACATTTGGCATACACGGAAATAGGTTGGCATGATCCACATAGACACTGCAAATTTGTTTGGGCATATTTCGATACTACAGATATTGATTTAGTCTAGGGTGATCTAGTAGAAAAATAATCTGATCTCCATGATCATTACAGAACCTATAACATCTTGTATACGTAGCAATAGGTCGGGTACAATCCACATAGACACTTTGAATCTGTTTGGACATATTTCGATTCTACAGACATTATTGCAGTCTTGGTTGATATAGTAGAACAAATCAACTGAACTCCAGGACGATTTGGAGAACCTAGAATATCCGGTATGCATGGCAATTACTCGCATATATACGATTCGTTTATGATTTGACAACGAAAAATGCTATGTCCATATTGGAAAAAAAATGACTCACATTGGACAGACCTCAGGAAATTTCTATGTTAATCCGGTGTGACTTATGGAATTGAGATCATTTCTCGATTATTTGCAGGGTGTTTGGTTTTGAAATCCAAATAAACAACAAAATTGATGACAGCAAAATAATCCGGGACGGAAAGGTTACAATGAATTCCACAATTTTTGTGACAGTGCATCAGTCCCTTCGCGATTTTCGCGACATCATTTAATGCTTCCGCGATTTTTTTTTTGGTTTCAAGCTGGAGCTGCGTGACAGCTTTGTTTTGAAGACTTGATTCATTTGAATAAATTTTGCTTCTATCTTTGACAATACAGCAGAAGGACTAGCCTATGTTGGCAGCTTGAACACTGGATTCCGTGTGTATTGTTTCAAGATAGTTATGGAAAAAATGCTGTGACGTGTACTCGTAGATACATGCGCGTAGTAAACCGATTGAATAAGTAAATCCGTTTCGAACGAAATATCTAAATTATGTAAGTTACGAAAACCGTGCGAATTCCGAAAGCCGTGCGGGACAACCGAAGTTAGAAAAAAGGCTTATTATCATTTAAAGAGTGCGACCAAAATAAATGTGATAGCCTATGTTGGCAAGCTGAGTGAGTGTACTTCGGTTCACGTTTAAAGGGCCTTAAAAAGTTTGTTTATAACAGCTTTTGTGCCGTTATCAAATGTTACGCCTGACATTGTGTTTCAGAGCATCTATTGGCGAAATTTGAGTGCTCTAAAACTTTGTTCACTCCCTGAAGATAATAGGTTAAGGTATTACCGAAGCCAATATTTCCCTTATAGATGCCTATTAAAATGCTTTGAAAAGATATTCTCTGAGTTTGCCTCGACAAGAAATATTAACATTAAAAAGGTGTATTTTTAAAATGTCAATAACTCTGGATCAGCAAAAGATATCGAGGGGACCTGCGCGTCAAAAGTTACGTCTTCAGAAGTTATATGAAGACAACTTTGCTGAGAAATTTGAAATAATCAAATAGAGCAAAAACACTGTTGTTTTAGAAACATCCTAAACTAAATAAGGAAAACAACTGTGCCGAAGAATGAATACTATAGTAACATTAGAAATGGGTCCAAAACGTAAACAAATCGGGGTTTGATACCATTATTTAGCACCGCTTGATAGCTACTAATCGTGTAGGAAAGTTCCGCATAATCGAGAAAAATCATTAAAAATAACTCAATTTTCGAAACGGCCCACACGCAAAAACGGCCAACCATTCATTTATTTTCATTGATAGGCCTAGTGACGTAGAAGGGCCGATGATTAAAAATGTTCAAACCAAAGCTAGGCCCTACTGCATGAGACAGGGCCGATGATTTGTTTTGAATTTATTTGACGTTGCGAAAAGGCTTAGCAAAGGGCGTACCACTTCTGATGAAAATCACAGCGGCTTAACAAAAAGGGCCTATCCAGTGAAATATTCACAAAAAGGCTTATTAATTTATGAAATTAAATTGTTATCGATTTTCATATATTTTTGAAAGCTTTTCGCATATTTTGGATGTTGTATACTGAGATACAGTTACTAATTAATTAATTTAGCTTTATTTAGGAGGCTTTCAGCCTTAGGCTGGTTCGCCTCCAAAGATACAGTTACTATTGTTATTGTGAACAATATAAATGCCAAAAATACTTCAATTTTCTTAAATATGAATTGAATACTGGTGGAAAAATTTAAATTCATTATCTGGTTTGTTTACGTTTTGGGCATAGGCCCATTTCAAATGTTACTCTAGAATACTTTTATTCTAGATAACAAGAACCACCCTAGTATTAATTGACACCAAAAGTTGTTGGAAAGGTGAATGGCGGTAATATTACCATGTTCATAATTTCAGCCAAAACGGTATGCTGGTATTACAACACTAGACAACAACAACAACAACTAAATGTCCTAGAATTCTCTTTTAGAATAATTACCAGCGCGTTTAATTCAATCTATTCAAGGATGAACAATTCCACAATGTATGCAAACAATCGACAGCAAAATAGAGTTTTGACAAGATGGTGCTCGACGCGTAATATTTGGACATCTGCCTTCTTCTCTAGAACAGGCTTGCGATCGAAACAATGCCTCAACCATGAAAAATAACCAGACAATAGTATACTAGCACTATCATCAACAAGCTTACCGGAAATAGTAGCTTCAATTCCGCTTCCCAGTGGCCACTAACGAAAAATTTTCTTCCGGAGCCACTATGCACTGCAGCTACCAGCTAGTGTGGCAAAACTTCAGCAACCTTGCCAAATTAGACAGCAGTAATTTTCAGTACAGTTTTGCGACCCGTCCTGCAGCGGCTGCGGATTTCTTCCACCGGAACGGTGCTTGCCACCGATCACTGCATAAAAATCCACAATCCGTTAGCCCGGAATCCACGCACAAAAACCCCGAAAATCCAACCAAACTCAACGAAATCAACAAAACCTTGTGCACAAAATTCGCGTTCTTCCTTCTTACAACTCACGCACTGGCTCTGGCTCTTCGTCTTCCTTCACACACGCCAGCGAGCTCTTTTTTTGACAGCTCTGGTTGTTGTTTACACCCCGATTATGCTCGGCTCTGGCTTCGCAGCTCACGCACACAAACACACTGTAGCAGCAGCAGCAGTACTTTTGCTTCTTCCCAACAAACCCGCCGCAGACTGGGTGGTGGCGGAAATCGCAAAAACGACTTTTGTGATCACCTTGCACAGCAGCAGCTGTCACCGCAAGCGCACACCCACACTAACACAACGATGATAGAACAACTCGCCGCAGCCCAGAGGGAACTCGCCGAGACTCGACGGATGGGCGCTTCGTTTAGCACTTTGAGAACACACCGATGAAACGGAAACGACGACAGCGGCGCGGCGACGGGGTGAGAAAAGATGGAAGTCCAAACACTTTTTTATTTTTCGCTATTTTCCTCACACGATGCACTCCTCCGACTTCTGAAACACTTCCCTTTGCGGCTTTTCCACAGCTATAGATCTTTGTGGCAGTAATGAAGGTGTAGGACTTGGTATACTATTTTTCCTCCACAAACACTGACGGATCTGTTGTTTCTGCTGTTGATTGTTATGTTTGATGGTTCCAAATACTATTCGATATCAAAAACGAGAACTAATTTCAGTGGCAATTATTGTTCATTTGAATACGAAGTAGTACTTTCTTCCGCACAATGACAATCTTTCAAGCACAAAAGGATGCTTATGGAAGCAAAGGAGCCAAACCGTACACAGCACACACTACTGACGAACGAGCAAACGCAGAGCCGCACGGACGCGTCCAAACTCAACCAAATTTACTCGGAGACTGAAACTGAAAGCTCGGGTTTCGGTTGGTCGGTTCGTCTAGAAGCTTAGAACACTCATTCACAACCCCACAGAACTCACACTGTCGCACTCGCGCTCGCTCAACGAAACTGAACCGATCGAACCTTGCTTCTTGCCGAAAAACAAACACATGCGGAAGGAGCATAAAACATCAGGGGAAAAAGTTCTATGCTCAATCGAACGTAGGAGAGGAAGAGTGCCGTTGCATTTATGTTGTTGAATGAGTGCGGTTTTCCGAAGGTGTAGAGGTGTAGCACTGGCTACCCTGCCATTCATAAAAAGTATACACCCACACTAACATAAACTGAGAACATAATGGTAGCCGTTTTGTTTGCAGTGGGTTTACAAACTAAAGTGTTGCCAAACAACCCCAAGAAAACCATTCATGAGAAGTACACGCTTATACGAAAATTGAGTCGAATGTACTCATCTCAGCGGCAAGTAGGGCTACTCAAAATTGAGTAGCCTTATGTTGACTCACTTTTGAGTAAACTACGTTCTCACGTAGACTGAGTCAAATCCACTCAGCAATATTTTCAGTTGCGGGGAGTGTTTTTGTTTTGATTTTTATTTAAGGAAATGGAAATTTCCTGCTCCGGATTCATTCTACCGGAGCAGAAAATGCTTCAACACCGTTTCCCTAAGCAATTCCTTCTTACCTGAAGGCATTTCAGCCGGTCTTCAGTAACTTTTCCTGGAAATGCTAATGGTGGTTTCGACTGGTTGATTGGAATCACTTTATGGGGGGAATTAAGGGAACGTAAAAAAAATAATCGTTTCTACTAAAAGACTGACATTTTTTCTAAGTCCAGGATTTTGCTGACTGAGTGGCTTTTACGCAGTTTGACATTTCTCATTTACTCAGTTTTTGACAACTCGATACATCGGACGAAAGTGAGTACGATCGACTCACCCGGTGAGTAAGCTGAAGTTAGCGTGTAGGAAGCTGGAAGAAACTCCTGAAGGAAGGGGGGACTCTTACTAAGGAAGGGGGGAATATACTTTTAAGGAAAACCAGACCCGAGACGGCTAATACATAGGTGTAACAGTCGGAAGAAGTGTTAGTTTGTTTACTTAAATGAACCATGTCCATTTTCTTATGGCATGTTTGCTATAAGAAATGCGCCTCGTGTTTATTAGCGAATTTCACATCAAAGATTGATTAATTGAGTAGGAAATCAGTTTGGCACGGCATTTGTGACCAGCATACACTAATAAAATTCTAAACTTACAGTTGCCTACCATGCCCATTTTGTTATGGCATATTTGCTATAAGAAATGCTCCTCGTGTTTATTAGCGAATTTCACATCATAGATTGATTAATTGAGTAGGAAATCAGTTTGGCACGGCATTTGTGATCAGCATACACCTTCCGGTAGTATGAAACAGGTCAAAAACTGTCCAAATCCGGAGATAAAAATTTTTGTTTTGAATTTCTGTATAGCAAAATAGTGAACTTTTCGTGAACATTAACGGCAAAGAACTCACCAACACTGGGAGACTGTGAGTTCCTGCCCACCTGTTCATTTTCCATCGTGAACCAGACCAACCTCTGAGCCGGGTTGCCACATTTAAATCAGTATTTCTTTGTGAAAATATCTATTTATACACAGATAAAATTCGACACATTTTTATTGGCGAATTTCCATGTAAAATTCCACATGAATTTCATTTGTACACACATAAACAGAATCCACTCAGAAGTACACATGAAATTTATTAGTGAAATGAATAGTATGTGTGGTTACACATGAATTGTATGTGTACACATAAGAACTATGTGTCCGACACATATAAATATATCATTTGTTTATCACATTGGAAAAATTCATGTGTGGGACACATATTTTCGTGTTCGGTAAATTTTACCGAAATCAGAACAGCTGAACGTTCGGTAAAACTTTGACCTTCATTTTAAAGGCAATTGAGCTTGAAAATACTTTCAAAACATGGTCAACCTTGTTTAAATGACCAAATATTGTCATTTTAGTGGAGATTTAGTTTCAAAGTAGCTGAAAAGCAATTGAATTGAATTGCATAAATTTTACCGAGCAGTTAAGCTGTTCAGATTTCGGTAAAAATTACCGAAGTCGGCGATAAAACTTTGGTGACGAACCTGTTATTGCAATTTTTCAGTGTACCTCATACCAACACTGCCAACCCGTGGAAACTAACGATTTTAAATTGGATCACTACTTGACTAGCCTATTGGTCCCAAGCTCGGTCCCAAGCAAACCGTTCAATGTACCCCATTCTAGTCGAAATTCTAGTTCTACGCTACGTTTGTTTTGATTCGCTATGCAAGTTTGACAGACAAAATGAGGGGTTCATGTATTTTCTTATGCTTCGAGGGGTGCATCGATTAGATTGGGACCGAAGAGAGTACCAGAGCTGAACCAAAAAGTTGAGCACGTTTCTTCGGAACCTTCTGGTCTTAGAGTTACATCTATGCTTGTACCGAGAAAATCTTAATAATATATTAACTCTAACGATTACATACGGCTGTTTGCAAGTTTGCAAATCAACTGTGCACACCTCAACCTGTGCCGATAGTTTTCGCTGTGCCGAAAGCTATGCCGAAGCGTGTCAATCAAGTATCCCATGAGTTTGGCAACCCTGAAGATTTAATGACTTTTGTGATTGTGCAAGAAAACGAAGCGCGATAAAAATAAATTGATGTATGCAGCCTAAAATCACTGCTGCAGCACGGAAATTTCACCAGAACAAGCAAACCAAACCAAATCTGTTCCAAGAAGACTGATTGTAGCCCTGGTGCATGCCGGGTCCTTAGCTATATTTCGTGGGATAGATTCCGGAAAGCTAGATGTGGTTCTTCATCCGTGGCGCTGACTATGGAACAGTACAACAACAATGATAACTGCTAGGTAGGTGGAGGTAGAACCTAGGGGCAAGACAGCTCCTAACCATGAGCAATTTCTGAGTTGCTTTTGATGCACCTCGAGTAACTCACATTGCTCAGTGAGAAAGATCACTGTCATTTGCTGTCCCACTTTTCGCATGCAGCAACATATGACATATGGTGCATCTTCATGCGAAGCCGAAAAGCTACTGTTAATCAAATCAACAATAAAAAAAAACATATTTACAGAACTCAATAACTCAGCGAAACTCGGAGACACTTAAATTGATTGATTTGATTATCCTGCATTCAACCCTTACCAACTGCGAACGTGAACGGAACCTATTGCTGCCTAGCAATGGAAATACTCGATTTGTCTGAACAAATACTCAAAATCCACCAAATTACGTACCCCGTACGTACTACAATACTATTCGAAGCAATCCCGTTCCCATGGCTTGGCAAACTGCCGCTGGATGAAACTGCGAACCGAGCTCTTAATTACCACTGTGCCGTTCTACTGACGGTGGACATCCATCCTTCCTCTTTTGGTGCTTTTGCTGTGCCTTCCGGATGATCGTGATACGATCCCGTTTCTGCGATACACCACCGTGATTTTGCTTCGACCGTCGACGGCAGTCTCTGGCTGAACATTCCGCGGTGCTAATGGTTTGTAGCGTTGCCGTCGGAGCTAGAATTGGGTGTTAATCGGTTGTTGCCCCGCCGGGGAGATATTTTCTAAATCGGAAACTGTAGCGGCGGATTTTATTGGAGGGGCCATGGTTGGAATATTGCTCACCACGGTATGTTTGATGTGCTGTGATGGAATCTTCACGCTAAAGCTAACTTGCATGATGCTCACGAGAAGGGGATCCGGGTTAGTTATTACCATTTTCAATGGGACTGCTGTTACTACTACTGGATCAATCAATGCTGATGGGATCGTTGCTTTCCTTTATTTAACGTCGGTCTCTGTTCCGCAATCTAGTGCCAATCACCGACGGACATCGATTGCCATCCATTGACGGCAACCGAATGTGCAGGAAGGCAGCTTCCACACCTGCGTAGGATGTCGCACCCATTCACAACACACATGGGCCGGGACCAACGGAAGACGTGACCAGAGATTTTTATGCCTCAGTAAAATCCCACCGACCTCGGCTGGGATTGAACCCATACCCATTGGGGTGTTAGAAAGCAGTCACGCTTATACCACTACACCACCGGCGCCGGCTGATGGGATCGTTGCATTATAGGTGAAATTCCAGATGTGTAGAAGAATAGCTGTTTAGAGAGCTTGTTTGATCAGCGATGATCCTTTTGAAGTGACAACTGGGACTGGCTGCTGAGGAAGAAGAACAACTGCTGAAAGCTGGCTGGAACTGTAAGCTCGTGCTGGTAGTAAGCAGGCACCGGCACAGGTTCTTCCATAATTTTCAAGCTATTTTAATGCCTCAGGATAAACTTGGGCTTACTTTGTTTACAAACAAAACTGACGTCTAATATGAGGAGCATATTCTTAAAGAGAGTAAACGGAGTAAGCAGAGAAAAAAAAATCGAACGTCGATTAAATATTGAGGTACATTGAGTTACTCTCTGCAAAAAAGCAACTCAAGTGGACCCTACACGACTGCATTTATTGACAATAATCGTATGTCAATACATTCTGTATTGACGTCACTACATCGGTATTGACAATATTTCTGTATTCACATCATCAATATTTATGTCAATAATTCCCCTTCAGAGTAAACCTGTCTCACCCCTTGGGTAGTACTGTTCAATTGGCTGCAAGCGGAGGACGGCTACATAAAGATTAGTGGGGATATTGAAAAAAAAGTATATCGATTTCCTCGAGATGAACAACTTCGAGGTGTCGAATTTGATTTTGTTATATGCCAAGGGGAAGGTTCGAACGAGGGTTCGAAGGGGTTAAGGATCGGGTTTAGGTTGTTGAAATGTATTCAGTATATCTTGATGTAACGTAACTGACACTTTTGACTTACATCGCTGATTTCTAGCTAACAATCATTAAATCTAGCAATGTAATAACACCATTGATGATATGAGACAATCCTCCACCCAACAAACATTGGAAGCGG